CGGCACATCGACGCCGGCCTGGCCATAATGGCCACGATGGACGGGCCGGAGGTGTACAGGGTCAGGGCGATAAGCCGGCGCCTCAGACGGCTCCTACGGGACCCCCCGGGTAACGATAATACCCATATAAAAGAACAGATTATGCTGGACCTGGCTGCCCACGCGGGCTGGCACCAGGAGGTCCTGTGCGCGTTGGAGTGGGTGAAGCTCGCCCTGTAGGCGGCTGGAACTTGGGAGGACTTCACGCGGCGGAAGGTTGGGAGTTGATGAAAGGGAGACAATGGTCGAGTCGGTTGACTGTTTTGATTAGTAGTTAGGTATGGAGCGCAATATACCCAGTTTTCCCCAATACGTAATACACGGTACGGCCCCGGCGGATTGCTCCGTCGGGGGGTTAGTCTTAGTTATATATATTAAGTTATAATATTAAGTCTCCTTTTTAAAAGTCTTATCTTTATAAACTTATAAATAAGTCGTTATAGCCCAGGTTAGGGCTTATTAAGTAATTTTTCCAAGAAATACTAAAATATCCGCTAGATTTTTAATATATCGTTACCTAAAACTTATTTTTAAAATTAAAAAACGAGGATTCGAAATTATAATACCTTACTTATTCTATCGTTTATTAAAATAAAAATATAAAATATTAAAAAGTAAATTAAAATATTATAAATATATACGTCGTAGTCGTTTTTATAACATAACTACTAATACTATATATAATTATAAGTTTTCTTTTTTTTATTAGTATTTTTTTATATTAATCGTACTTATAATAAATCGTTTTTTATTTAAAGCTAATAAGCTAAAGCATAAAAAAAAAATAAAAGAGCTTTTTTTTTAAAAACGGGTAGAAGTTTTATATTATATATAAGCTAAAATAGATTAGTTTTTATTAAAATTAAATCGTTTTTTAAAAAAAAAAAGGATAGTATTTAAAAAAGGTAAAGCGATCCCTAATTTTTTTAATATTATTAATAAAAATAAGTCGGTTATTATATAAGAAGTATAAGCTAGTAGTACTTTTAAAGTAATTAACTAAAATACTATAATAACTAGGAGTTCTAGTTTTAATTTTAACTTTAGTATTCTAAAAGGGATTCCTAAGAGTTCTAAAAGTTCGTAATAAGTTCTTATATATTTTCTTTATATCTATAGCCTTTTTATTTAATAAAAAACTCTTATATTCCGTTACTAACTTTATAGTTAATAATTCGTTTAACTTTATATTCTAATTAGCTTAGTTTAATAATAATATAATCTTCCGTATATAAACCTCTTAATATAAGCTCGAGTAATAAAATATAAAAAATAAAATAGTATCGTATTATATTTAATAATTTTAATTTATAATTAACTAGTAAGACTTTTTTAATAATTTTAAAAAGTCTAAGTTTTTTATAATCTAATTTATTACTTAGTCGTTTCGTTTTAATATTATAATAAAAGAAGTAAGTACTATCTCCCTTTTTTAAAAATAGTCCTCTAATTCTTAATCTATCCGCATTTCTTTTTATATATTATTATATAAATTCGAGGTTTATTAATACTTATTTATAAATCTCTTTAAGTTTACTTATATTTACTATAGCTTTTATAGCTTATAATTTTTATTATACTTCTCTATATACTATTAATTAAAATCCGTAATTAAAGTAAAATAGGGATTCTCTTATACTTTTATTAACTATATTATTATATATAAACTAAGCTATTAATAAAAGTATTACTTAATTATCCTAGTTATAGTTTATATAATAATAAAAGTATATCTCGAGGATCTAGTTAATTTTTTCTATTTATCTATTAGTTTATAAATAAAATAATATTAATAATTTATAATTTATACTAAGTTATAAAATTAGGGATTTTTAAAACTTTAAAATAAATAACTTATCTCTATTTAAAATAATTTCTTTTAGTAAACCGTAGTTCGAGAGTATAACTTTAATAAATATATATACTAAGTCTTCTATAGTACTTAATTCTTTATAAGGGATAAAATATATAAACTTAGTAAGTCGGTTAACTATAACTAAAATATTATTATACTATACTTTAGTAAATAGTTCTTTAAACTTTAATAATTTAATAATAAAGTCCTATATAATTAAATACTATACTTTTATTAATAATTTTAATAATTATAGCTCGCTATAAAGTTTATATAAGCTATTTTTACTTTTTTTATAAGTTACGCAATCCCTAATTATTTTTATAATTTTAGCGTATATAATAAATTTATTATAATATTAATAAATCCGTTTTTACGTTTTAATAACTCCTTAATAACTATATACTAATATATTATAAATTTCTATAATAAGCTTAGGGGTTATTCTTTTAATTAAATTAGTATTAATCCTTTTAACTATTATAAAAAGCTTTATAATTAATATAAGGCTACCGTCCTTCTCTTATTTAAAAATAACTTATATTTCTTTAGGGACTATAACTTTATAATTAGATCTTTTACTAAGAGCGTCTATTTTACTATTCTCTAAACTTTTTTAATAAATAATTCGGAAATTAAATTTAAATAAGAACTCGCTCTATTTAATTTATCGTTTATTTAGGTTTTTATTTATTATAAAGTTTTTAAAGTTCTTATAGTTTATATAAACTATAACTTCGTATTTAGTTTTAAATAATTATAATCTCTATTCTTAAAATACTTTAATAATTACTATTAGTTCCTTATTATAAATTTACTAATTTAACTCTACTTTATAAAATATTTTAAAATAAAAATAATATAAATAAAGCTTTTTTTACTTATCTTATTATTTTAAAACCGCTCTTATAATAAAGTTTAAAACGTTAGTTTTAACTTTAAAAAGCTTTTAGGGGTCCGGAATTATAATAACTAGTTTAAAAACGACTATATTCTTAACCTTAATAAATACTTCTTTATACTTAGAATCCTAAATAAATAAAATATTTTTTCATATTAAGTTATTAAAAAGTCTAACTATATTAATATAGTCCTTAAAGAATCGTTAATAAAAATTAATAAATCTTAAAAATCCTTATATATTTTTAACGTTCTATAATATAAGCTAGTCCCTAACTACTTTTACTTTTAATATTTATATATAAATTTATCTTAGTATAATAGTATATTTTAAAAAGTTTACTTTTTATATATAAAACTCGTATTTAAAGAGTTCGGTATATAATTTAATATTTTAAAGTTTTTAAAATACTATATAAATATACTTCTTATATATTTTAAAATCGGGGGAAAAAATAAGAATATTATTAATATAAATAATAATAAAAATATCGACGTACTCTTAGAATATATAGTTAACTATTATTTAAAAAGTTATTAAAATATTAATAAGTCCGAAAGGTATAACGAGGTACTTAAAGAGTCCTCTATAAGTTTAAAATACCGTCTTTTATTCGTCTCCTTTTTTAATTCAAATTTAGTTAAATACTTCTTTAAAATTTATAATAATAAACTAGTTAGCTCCGTAAAATAGATCTCTAAGCTTAGTAATAAGTAGTAAAGGGTAATAATTTTTTTTTATAATTTCGTTAAGTCTTTTATAATTAATAATAAGTCTTAATTTCCTACTCTTTTTTAATATAAAAAATAAGAGAAATCTTATAAAAGAATTTAATAATTAAATATATCCTTTCTCGAGCTTCTTATTAATATATTCGTTAAGATATTTTTATTTTTTTTAATTTATTAAGTATATTAAATAAAACCTAGGTTACGCTCCTTTTTTAAATTCGATCTCTATATCCTAGCTACTATATTCTAATAATCCTATTTCTTTAGGTTCTATAAATAGTTTTATATATATCTAATACTCTTTAAATATAGTTTAGAGTTATTACGATCCTTAATTATTAATACTATATATAAACTTCTTAGAGCTTTTTATTATTTTAATAAAAATTATATATCGTATTTATTCTCGTTCTTTAAGAATTACTAAAAATCCGTTTAAATCCTTTTTTTTTTTAAGTTATTTAGTAACTAGATTTTCCTAGAGGACCTAGCTAATAGTCTAATCTATTTATAAGTTATACTTTTATAACTATAAAATCCCTAAAATAATATTAATATCTCCGATTTTTATAATATTATACTATAGTTATTCTTATTAGTTATTAATATATATTAAAAGATATACGGTTTTTTAATTAATATATTTATAGTTATAATTAACTCGTTCTCTTTTTACCGTTTATAATTAATATAAGTTATCCTTTTATACTTATAGTAAATTAAGTTTATTTACTATTTTTAATAAGATATAAGTTTTTTATACGCTATTATTAATAATAATATTTAGTCCTCGTTTATAAATATTAAAGTTAACTTATAAGTATACGTTATTATATTATCTAGTTATATATAAGAACTTTTTTTTTGTTTTTACCTCTTGTCGTTTTTTTATAATTAGCTTTCTTAGTTTTTTAATATACGCTTCTTTTATTAAGTATTTTATTCGCATAGTTCTTATTATTCTCTTTATACTTTAGCTTTTCTAATATAATAAATCTAGTATTAGTCGTATTTATAATCTTCCTATTCTATATATTCGCTATTAAAATATTTTATAAAAAAGTTAGGATTTAGACTAAATATTATTTTATTATTATTATTAAAGCTTAGTAATATTTAACTAAGTAGTTAGTTTTTTATATAAATATCCTTAATAAGTTTACTATTGCGTCTTTATAAGTAAAAACGGCTATTTTATTTATATACAAAGTACTAGAAATATTTATTATCTAAGTACTCTACTTAAAATAATTCTTTATAAAAAAGGTCCTCGGGGTCGAATAAAAAGTAGTTTTTATTTATATAGGGGGTTATTATAACCTTTTTATATTTTTTAGTTTTATAAAACTAAATAGTCTAGTTATCCTTAAATAGATAAATATATTTATACTATAATTCTTTATTATCCTCTTTAGAGCTAGTATTATTAATGCTAAGTAGTACTTTATAATTAATCTCTATTTAAATACGTCGTTAAGCAACGTTACGAGGTTTATTTAAATTATAAAATAATTCTACTTCGTTAAAATAGAAAGAACTAGTTCTTATTTTAATATTTTCTTTTTTTTTAAAGTTAAAGTTAATTTTTTTTTCTTTTATAACTCCGAAATTAAAAATTAGTTTCTTAATTACTTCGATCTTATCTTCGCATATAAGGTCTTTAAACTATTTTTTAACTTTATAAATAAATTTCTTATTAATATCTACTTATTATATTATATAAATAGACTTAGTTAGGATATTATTTAAATCGAGTTCTTTTTTAAATTTAATAAATTATTTTTAATTTATATAGTTTCGTTATATTATATAAATAAGGCTACTTATAATTTTTTTTATATTAAGTCCTCTTTTTTTAAACTTAAAAAGTTACTCCCTTATATTAACTAGGAGTCTTTACTTAATTCGTCCTTTAAAAAAGTAAAGTATATCTTTTATAATAAGGTCTATTTTAACCTTCTTTTCTATATCCTTATAAATTTAAAAAAGTATAATAACGTATTTAATATTATTTTTTTTAAAAATATAGGGTTTATAAACGAGTATTTCTTCTTTTTTTATTACTATTATTAAAATTTTAATAAATAATATAGTATTATATCCGGATCGTCCTTTATTTTTAAGTTACTTTAAGTACTATCCTATTTATTCCTTACTATCTTAATAAGTAAGATAATTATCGTTATAATAAGCCGTTTATAAAAGTTATTTATAAAAGACTTCCTTATTTATAATATTAGCTCGCTTTTCTAAAATAAGTTAGTATTAAATATGCTTAGGTTATTAGTAATCTCTAGCTATATATCCTAGCTTATTATAATTATAATATTTAAAATTCTTTTTTTATTATAATTTTTTATATTTAGTAATATTAAAGTCTATAAGTCCTTTATATTATTTATAAAACGTACTTTATTACTACTAATTTCTTAAGTTATTTTAATAATTACTTAGTAGTTTATTATAATTTTAGTATTTTTTATTAAAGTTAGCTTAAGGGTATTATACCTCTCTTTTTTCTTTACGTCGTTTATATAGTTAAGTATTAATTTTAATAATAAGCTCGACGTATTATAAGAATTTTATTAATATTTCTATTTTACTAAGTTCGTCCTTAACTTTATTTTTTAATCCTTAATAAAACGAAAAAATACGGGTTTCTTTAATAAAATCGAGTCGTACTATAAGTTTTTTAAATTTAGTAATATAGTATAAAGTAAACTTAGTTTATTAAAAACTAGCTAAGTCTTTTTTAGCTTATTATTTTTTATTAAAGTCCTAGAATAGAGATTTAAAAAAGCTTTAGAATCCTATTATATTACTAAAAATATTCACAATTTCTTTTTTATAATATAATAAATAACCGTTATTACTAAAAAATTCTTTTTAAAAGGGCTCGAACTACTCTAGGGCTCGTCCCTTAAAAAAGGTTATTACGTAAATAACTCGCTTAGTTTTATTTTAAAAATTAATAATATAAAACGTTTAGTAAGTTCTAATCTAAATTAAAAATCCCTTAAAGCGTTTAGTAGTTCTATTAAAAATAATAAGTACGTTAAGTCTAAATTTCTCTTATTTATCTATAAGAGTTTTAATAATATTAATAATAGCTCAGAGGGTTCTAACTTCTTATTCTAAGTCGTTTACTTCTCTTTTTTTAATTTTTAAATTAGTTATAGTTTTATTAACTATATTTTAAAAAATAATAATATTTTTATTATTCTTAGCTAAAGTTATAGCTATTTAAATAAAGTTATTATTAAAAAGCTCTATAAGTTCTTTATTCTATTTACTACTTTTCTTAACAGTATATCGTATTTTTTTATAATCTATTTTTTTAAAAACTATATTATTATTAGAGTTATAAATAATATTAAATATCTCGTTATCCTTAACCCTAGCTAGCTTATTAACTAAGTTAACGGGTTACTTAGAGTTAAATAAAAGGGTACTTAGGGTTTTAAAAAATATCGTCGTTCGTTTTATTACTTAATAAGTTTTATAAAGTTAACTTACTAAATAAGAGTAATTAAAATATTATAACTAGCTAGTTATAATAAGTATATTAGTAAAAGTTAAGGCTACGAATACTAAATAAATAATATCGTAATTATAAATAGCTTCTTTAAAGCTATATTTATAAATTATAAAATAAATAAGGTTTTAATAATTAATCGTAGTCTTATTAAAAGGGGTTTTTAATAAGAATAGTTAAAAATAATTATAAAATCTAATACTAAGTTAATTACTAAAAAAGCTATAAAAAGTTTTATCCTTAAGCCTAGCTTAAGTTTATACTATATATAAGTCCGTTTATAAACATATTTTTTATTAATAATTACTTTTATTCGTTAAGTAATCGCTTAGTAAATACTAATAAACGCTTACTTAAAGTAATTATAATAATTACCCTATTATATAATTACTATTTCTTATTTATATATAACTTATTTATAATTCTTCTATTTTATAAGAGTTACCCTATATTCCTATATTCTTATATATATAATATACTATAGCCGTTATAAGCTTACGGGGCGGGCCCTAGTCTTAGTTATATATATTAAGTCGTAATATTAAATAGTTAGTTAAATAACTAATTAAAAAATTAGCTAGTTAAAATACTACCTTAATAAAAACTTACTCTCTTAGTATATAGTTAGTAATTAATAAGCTAAAAATACTCGTTAATAAGTTTACCCCTCTCGGGCTAAGTACCCTCTTTAACTAGCTTAATATTATAGTTATTATAATTAATATAAATATACTTAAAAATTAGTAAAGTACTTTTTAATAATATAAAATTTAGCTAAATAATAATATAAATATTATAAATAACTAAGTTAATATAAATATTAAGCCCCCTAATAGAGCAATCCGCCGGGGCCGTACTATATATTACGTATTAAGGAAAACTAAGTATATTACGCTCTATACCTAATTACTAATTAAAATTAACTAACTCAACCGTTATCTTCTTTTTATTAATAGCTCCTAACTTTCCCCCATAGTCCTCTAAGTTCTAACTATTTAAAAAGTAAGCTATACCTATTTTAATATATATAAAACCTTTTAGTATTAGCTTATATAAGTAGTTAGATCCTATATTATATACTCCTTCTTATTAAGAATTAAGGGGCCCCTTATATATTCCCTTACGTTTATAATATAGCCTATATTAAAAATAATTTTAACTTTATAAAGTATAATTTTTAAGTTAGTATTAATATACTAAATCTTAATATCCGTATTAACCTAGCTATTTATAGCGTTCGTATTATTACTTAGTTAAATTCCGTATTATTAAAAAGTATTTTATTAATCCTTAGGTATATTTATATTAGTTATAATAGTTATAATATTAAGCTAGCTAAAGAGGGCGCCTAGCTTAAAAGGGGTAGACTTATTAATAGGCATTTTTAAAGAGTTCTAGCTTATTAATTACTAACTATATACTAAAAAAATAAGTTCTTATTAAAGTAGTAGTTTATATATTAATAAGTTTATTTAGTAAATTTATTTAGTTTAAATAGAGTTTTAGGTAATATTAAAAGCAATAAGGATAAAAAGAATTTTTATAAGCTCTAAAGAGTAGTAAATATTAGCCTATTTAGCCCTTTTTTTAAAAACTTCTACGTTATTATTAAATTTTAGAACCTTTATAATTAAGAAAAGCTACTTTTAATTATTATAACTAACTATTATAACTAACTATTATAGCTAACTTTTATTATTAACTTTTTTAACTAGCGCCGCTACGTAATAAAAAAGGTAACTTACTTATCCTAAATTATATAGCGGTTTTTATATTAAAATTATTATATTATATTAAGTACGTACTTAAGGTATATTATATATATTATATAATTAAAAAGTATACTATATCGTATAATTTCTTTTAAAAGCGTGATCCTGTTAAGGTTAATCTTTTGCGCTTATAAAACTAAAAAAAAAAAAAAACCACTATATAAATATTAAAATTTAGTATATTAACGTTAATTTAGAAATTATATAGTGGTTTTTTTTTCTAACTTTATAAATATAAAAGATCGACCTTAATAGGATTACGCTTTTAAAAAAAATTATATAATATAATACACTTTTTAATTATATAATATATATAATATATCCTAAGTATATACTTAACGTAATATAATAATTTCAATACGAAAACTATTATTTAATTTAAAATAAATAAGCTACCCTCTTTATTATATAATAGTACTAGTTAGAAAGGTTAATAATAAAGGTTAGTTATAATAGTTAGTTATAATAATTAGCCATAATAGTTAATTATAATAATTAGAGGCGGCCCTTAACTATAGAGGTTTTAAATTTTAATAATAATATAGAGGTTTTTAAAAAAAAAGCTAAATAGGCTAATATTTATTACTTTTTAAAACTTATAAAGATTTTTTTTATTCTTATTATTTTTAATATTACTTAAAGCTACTTTTTATTTAAACTAAATAAATTTATTAAATAAATTTATTAAATGAATTTACTAAATAAACTTATTAATATATAAACTATTACTTAAATAGCTAGTTAAATAATTAGTTAAGAAGTTAGCTAATTAAAATACTACTTTAATAAGAACTTAAAAATACTTATTAATAAGTCTATTCCTCTCGGGCTAGGTACCCTTAGTTAGTTTAATATTATAATTATTATAATTAATATAAATATACTTAAGAAATCCCTTTAGGGTCCGGTCCGCCTTATTAGGGGCTATCTTCGCCTTTACGGGTAAGCTAGTCTATTAGGGTTAATATTAAGTGTTTTTATTATATACTTTATAAAACTTTATAACTAACTATAGCCGGCCGTAGCCGTTACTAACTATTAATACTAACTAAACTTAAAATATTAATAACCCCGCTACCGTAATATATTAATCGCTCTCTAAATAGCTAAAAACTACCCCCTACTTTTTGTTTTTTTTAATAGCGCTAGATTTTTCTTTTTAATCCTTTTTAATTTCCTCTTATATAGTAATTTTAGAATATTAATAATACTTAAGAGTTAGTTAGGTATTTCGAGGCTACTATATTATATTAGTTAGGCACTAATAAGGGTAATACCTATATTAATATACGTATTTCGGATTTTTAAATTAATAGTATTTAATCCGTATTCTTTAAAACGACTTTCTTATAGTTTGGGGTCTTTTAGTATAATACTTATAAGATCGAACTTCTGGCCCTTAAGGTATCCCTATAGATCGATAAGTTAGCGTCCTAGTATTTTAATAATATATATTTAAGGTAGATAATTCGATAGTAATAGCGATAGGGCAATAGTAATAGTAATAGGGCGATAGTAATAGGGTAATAGCAATAAGGTAATAGCGATAGACGGTAAGAGAAGCGTTTTTTGACTTTGATAAAAGAAACGAGGTAATGAATATATATATATATATAAGTTAAAGTTGAAAGTATTAGGGTAGATATCGTAAGGTTAATATTATTTAATAATAGTAACGAGGGTATTTCTGATACTACCGTTGTGAGCTATTATACTTAGAAAGGTAGCTAACTTAGCTAAGTGCGCAATAGGCTTATAAAGTAGTAGCGTCGGGTGCTTAATATTATTATTAATAATCCGTAGTTATGAACTTTATAAGAGGGAAAGTTTAAAAAAGTAGAAGAATATTTAAAAAAAATAGTTTAATAAGATAGTAGGAGTATTTATTAATACTATGTATTAATACTATATAACCGATATTGAGAATTGCCCGAGCAACTAGTAAAGGTAGAAATAAAAAACAAATACTTAAGAAATAATAAAATACTTTTTAATAATATAGAATTTAGCTAAGTAATATTATAAATATTATAAATAACTAAGTTAATATAGATATTAAGATTTAATATATTAATACTAACTTAGTTATAATAATTATAATAAATAGGCTAAAAGTATATAGGGTTAGGATAATAAGTTAGTAATTTAAATAGTTCTTATAAGACCCCTTAAATAATAATAATACTTATATAAAAAAATAAATTATACTAAACCTAGCTACTTATATAAGTTAGTATTAAAAGGTCCTATATATATTAAAATAAGTAAAGCTCGCTCTATAAATAACTAGAACTTAAGAAGATTATAATAGAAAGTTAAGAGCTATTTTAGTTAGTAATTAGGTATAGAGCGTATTATACTTAGTTTTCCTTAATACGTAATACATAGTACGGCCCTGGTAAATTACTCCGTCGGGGGGAACTTAGAAATTATATTTTATAAAATTAGAAATTTTTTAATACGAGCTATATTATAAATATAAAAAAATATATAAAGGGCCTTTTAATTTTTAATAAAAAAAAGTATATAATATAAAATTTAGTTATTTATATAAGTTAATATTAAGAGGTTTTATATATATTAAAATAAGTATAGCTTACCCTTTAAATAGTTAGAAGCGGGGGAAGGTTAGGAGTTAATAAAAGGAAAATAATACTTAAGTTAGTTAATTTTAATTAGTAATTAGGTATAGAGCGTAATATACTTAGTTTTCTTTAATACGTAATATACGGTACGGCCCTAGTAAATTGCTCCGTTAGGGGAATAAAATCTAATTATATTAATAAAATTTTTTAAACTAATTAAAAAATAAAATAGCGATGCTAGTATAAGAGCGACGCTAGTATATTAATTTACGACGCCGGTATATTAATTCCCTTCTTAAAACTAGCTCTCTTTTTTTAACTACCGCGTTCTTAGCACTCTCGAACAGTCTTACCCACGACGCGTCAAACGTATCCCCACTAGCCAAGGACGGTGGTGGAGAAAGCTAAGAATAGGGGCTTCCTCTCTCTCCAATCCTGAAATTTCATGTGGCATAGCTCGTACCCGTCAGCCAGGCTTTGGTTCCTTGTAAGCGATCGTTGTTGTTTCATTGGCCGGTGTTTCGTTTGTTGGTGGTCCATCACTAATGTCTGGGCGTATCATGGCTTGAACGCCCTCGTATGAGAGCGGGACCGCAAGAGGCGAAGGGGCGATGTGTGGCACAGAGTCGTGTTTTTGTCTTACGCTTAGGCTCGCCCAGGCAACGGCATTTCGTTCTCGAGAACCTTCGAACCTCACTCCCTCGTCTTCCGACTCGTTTCGAAGCTCATTTTCAGCGTATTTTGTTTTCCACGCTCGTGCACGGCGATTTCGCAATCTCACCATGACTGGCTGAAAACGTTCCCATTCACTCTCGTTCAATACTACTTGCTTTTCTCTGGTGAACTCGCCCGTACTCACTCGTTACTTGCACTCTGGCGCCCTGCTTCGACAAAGGATAGACTCGGAATAATTGGGCAATCATGGCATTTGCATTTTTTTCGACCTTGGGACTCCTGGCCACATTTCAATTGTCTGGACTTGTAGCTGCGGATTCACAAAATATCGACCTCTGTGGTCAGTCAGACTGGTGGAACTCTACTGAAGTTCCGTATTCATGTGTGTAGCTTTCTGAATCGACGCAGCTGTTTTCATAACCACGACCGCTGACTGACAAACGCGGCAGTCAATAATAATGCCTGGGGAAACGACAGTTCGGGCTACCAATGCATGGCCGTCCATGATAATGGCCGTAGCTTCAGTGTCTCCTACAAATGGACCGGAGATGCATCTCTTGTCAAAGGCTACCCGTACATGAAGGCTCATCCGACTAGGCTCCCTGTCCAGCTATGGAACGTCACTCAACTACAGGTCACAGGGAATTGGCAGACTTACGTTGCTGGCAAAGAAAAGGCCAGTGCTGAGCAGCAGGCCCAGGCTTTCGATGATGTTTCGCTCTACGCCAACGTTGCTGTCGACATGTTCCTGTCCGATAACAAGGAGAACTCAACCATGGTCGGCGCCCCCATTGAAATCATGATTTGGCCCTGGTGGACGCCAACTGTAAAACCACTAGGATGGGCCGAGTCCACTCCCGACAAAGACACCGTCACCATCGACGGCACCCCTTTCTCATTGTATCATGGCTGGAATGATGGGGGACAACATGTTTTTTCATGGTTGGCTCGCACCAACCTCACCAAGACCGATGCCGACTACGGACCTTTGCTCACCTATATCTGGAAGAAGGGTATGCTGTCAGGCGCAATATGGCTAGGGCAACTCGAGCTGGGCACCGAAATCAAACACGCCGCTGGCGACATGCACTTTGAAGCCAGTAACTACACCTTGAAGGTTGTTAGGCAAGGAGATCCAGAAGACAAGGCGACCTCAACTTCCACAACTCGATCTAGTACTAGCCAGACCGCGACGACGAAGACAATGATGACGACAGCCGCAGCTGAAGCCGCCACCACTTCTGCGCCGTCTCCTACCAACACCAATGCCGCGTCTACTTCTTTGCTTGTAGACCTTTCAACAGTTTGTTGGATCTCACTCGCCACAGTCTTGTTGTGTTAATATGACCGGCTGCCAGATATGTGTAAAGAAATTCGGCGACCAATTACCTCAAGGAGTTTATTTATTCTAATCAAGCATATTTTAATCGAAGGTCAACTTTGTCTACAGGGAAACCAGGCCTCGAGTGACGGAAAGTGCTCAGGGGCCCGAATTCAGTGCCGGATCGATCAACGACGAGGTCGTAGAGAAACGTACTGTCTTTGTATCAGCCTTTCTGCATTAGGCAATATGGAACGAAGCCAGTGAAGAAACCTCACTGTTTGAGCGGGTTCTGGGCGGTATTAAGCTGTCCTAATAGCCTCTGTGCCCTAACATCCACTCTCAGCCATGCGCGTAGTTATAGATGTGATAATGGCAGTTTCATTACCATGGGTGGACATGTTGGGCGGCACGATGGTGATGCTCAAGAAATGATGCTTGGTCACTCGCAACCGTTACAACGACACTGGCGCAGACCCACGCCTCTTCCCCGCAATGGCAGGTCAGATCTGAAGACATCATGGATTTGAAGGAAATTCAGGAAGTTTTCAGCGTAATTGCTAAAATGCCCTTCCAAGGCTACCAATTTTGTGCCTAAGCTATAATACACACTCATTTGAACCCATATGATCACCAATGAATGATATCATGGGCTAGCCTTTTGTGTACGCTCAGCTTCGAGCTCCCTCTCAGCCTGCTGATAGTACTTGGCCGTATCAACGCCATGTTGATTGTGGTTGACAAAGTTGAACCAAGGAATAACGCCCATGAACAAGGCCGAATATCTAGATTGTCGCGCAGCGACGCCTTGCAAGTGAGGAGTCAATCTGCTCTCTCCGTAAAGCGGCTCGCCAGCCTTGACCTTGGAAACCATTTCCTTCATGTCCAGCTCAACTTCGCGAGCGTTCTCGGTGGCCCCGTAAAACCGCACTGTAAGCCGACCTCGTTAGCATTCTGCGCCCCATGCAACCTTCTTCATCCGTAAAGGTCGCCCGGATACATATCCTTACAGCTAGAGCGCTGGTAAAAGTATAGAAAGCCACCAGCCACACCAATGGCTCCAGCCAAGCGTAAAGCCTGAGCCATACCTCCCTTGCCAACGTGGGAAGGAGCAAACTTCTCCAGGGCGAGGAGAGCGCCGGGACCGAAGGCAGCAGCTACAGCACCATGTAGATAATCGGAGGGCCTGGCATAGCCGACAACTCTTTTGAAGTGGCTGTAGTCGTTCTCTGTTAGCTTCTGATCCTATGGAGGCTGCGGCGGGCGGGTCGGAGCATACGGGTCGTTATCGATGAGCTTTGCGAAGAGAGAGATGTGTCAGCTCATATTTGCCTTTAGATATACATCAGGGTCTTACCGGGTAATCACTCCTCACGACCTTGGTCGGAGTGAAAGTCTGCGCTTGTGCGGTAGCCATTGTAGCGGACGGCAATGCGAGGCCCGATTGCGTCGATGATGGCCGATAGCTCTATATTCTCAGCGGTCGATTCAGATGTCGAATTAGATATGAGCGGACGCTGATTGGGGCCAAGCCACTAGATTAGCCTGAGGCAGAACAAAGTCCCGAGCACAGACCAGTATAGGTGTGGCTTTGCACTTCAGTGGGCGCACACATGAACCACCTCCCCGACAGTTGCAGACCCCTGGAGGACCAAGCTGCGCCGACGCGTCGTTTAATTGAAGACGCGACCTCGAGTGACATTCCGCGTTTCTCGGAATGCACAAGGCGGCAGCGACACTTCTTGGGCAGATTCCGCACAACTACGACGGATCGAATAGTGAAACTCGAGCGATGGCTTCCAGAACCGTACCTGAATATGACGATCTCGACGTGTACAATGTTGATGACGACTTCGACGACCCATTCAAATCCCCACCGCCCGAGGCGAAAGATGGGAGCACGAACAAAAGAAAGCAGGCCGAAGCCTTGGGCCTTGATGAGGAGGTCGAGGTGGCTAAAAGAGTGCGGGTGCCACGCGTAAAGCTGGACGAAGCTCGGTTGGTATCTCATATGCTCGATACTACGAGTTACTGATCTTTGACAGGCTACTGTCAGACAACGGGATACCTAAACTTCGAAAACGCGCCGGTAACCTCAAGTTCAAGGGCAAAGGACACGAGGTATGCCCGTTCCACCTTCTCCTGCGATTTTGATCCCGTGCTGAGGCGGCATTTTCTAGTTCTCCGATGCTGCGCGTCTTCTATCCTTTTACCAGCTTTGGCTTGACGACCTCTTCCCCAAGGCGAAGTTTCTCGACGCTCTGAGCATGGTTGAAAAAGCCGGCCACAAGAGGCAGATTGTACTCAAGCGCATGGAGTGGATCAACGAGGGCAAGCCCAAGCCATGGGATGCAAACGAGGACAGAACAGAAGATACGGTGGAAGAGGCACCAGAGCAAACAGCCGAACCCCCCACTGCACCAGTTTCGGCAACTGTCCCTCCACAACAAAACCTGGAAACACCAGAACGTGGAGACATACTGGATGTAGAAGACATATACAGTTCAACACCGTTGGCTAGGAAGCAGGATATGGGAGTGTCCGCCTTACAGCCTGAGGAACCCGACGACGACGATCTTGACGCGCTCATGGCTGAAGCGGATGGAGCAACCCATGCACAAGCACCAATAGCCCAGGAGCACACCGGCAAGTCAGTAGAGGAAGAGTTCGCAGATGAAGAAGCCGCTATGGCCGAGATGGACGGGCTTTGGTGACAGGATCAAGCTTGCAGCAAGTAATTGCTTTACGGGCGACGATGGGGTTAGCACAAGGATAGATTGCCTGCATGACGGACGGCACTGGCGCCACGATTCCTATTTAGATCTACGACGAGCACCATCTTGGTGGTCCGTGGTCTCAAGCAGTCTACTGATGTAAGGACAACCACCCTTTTGTCGTCAGCATGATTTTGGACATGACAAGGAATAAATAATACAGATACGAGCGAGGTGTCACTATGAGCTGAAGATAGATTGGGACATGGAAAGAATCATCTGAAATGACATGAACATCATTGGTCGCAAGGCGACGTTGCATTGAATCAACATAATGTTACAGTCCACCGAAATTGTCTATACTGACTGGACACCATGCTTGCGCCTGTACACCATTTTCCCATCCCATTCAAGCCAACCGAAAACGCTTCCCATTCTCTTTGGTGTCAGTCACTCCCCGCTTCCTCTTGGAAGCCGAAACAAACATGTGATTATTAGTTGGTGTTGAGATATCATTCGCCAGATCGGGCGCATGGGCTCTTAGTTGAAGTGTATTCTTGCGGTTGATTTTCCGCTCTTCAACTCTGAGAACCCATAACAGCGTCAAGAGAACCTCCCTGGACGGCAACGGTGCGCCGACAATCCACGTTGGTGGTGTCTGACTGCTATCGCGCTGCGCCGAAGATTCAGCCGACGACCCCCCGATCCGGTCATCGCATCCTTCAGACACCAACCGCAATGCCTCCATCGTCGCATCCATGAGCGGACGCGCCAGAGTGGGGCTGCAGGTTAGAATTCTCTGAAGAGACTTGAGTCTCAGAGTGGGTGAGATCGCGGCCGAATTCCGGGTCCGCTGCGACGGCTGCGCCGTTGACGTCGTCGTGGAGGAACTCGTTGATGTCGAACGGGTCTTGGAGGAAGGTAGAGTCACCAACCAGATAATCGTGTTCATAATCGAGGGAGTTGGGGGAAGAGAGAAGCCCGCTTTCAAGGACATAGCGATCTGCGTCAAGGGCCGCTGACAAACTGAAAGAATCACTGATGAGGTGACTAGTAGCGTCTGAAGCTGCAGAAAGAAGACCAAGGTCGGATGCAGAGGGGTTTGAAAGGCCAGCCATGATTGCGGAAGCTCCTCCGACAGATGACACTGCAGGTCGCACAACATCGCTGCAGGACGTTGTGTCAGGTCAGAGGTAGACTTCGCAACAGAGGTCTCGGCCGTTGGCTGCTCCTCACCGCCCTCCTCAGTACCCTCAGCGATTGGTAAGAGTTCTGGAGAGAGCGATGCGGGATTGACAGTGGCGTTGGGTTGAGATGTGGTCATGAGGTCGTCGACGAGGGACTTAGTCTCGTCTAGTGAAGCTCGGTGGCCGTCGTGGGAGCTGAAGAGCTCTTGAGACAACGTTACAGAGTTCTTGTGTAGGGGGTCGTTGGGAGACGTTGAACGGGTCAACATGCCAGAGTCACGACGGAACTTGTTCAGTTCATCCACCAGCAACTGGTTTGCTTTGGTGACGTTCTGGAGAGCCGACTCGAGTTCTTTGTTGCGTCGTTCCAAAGCCTCAACCTCCAGTCGCTTTCGCTCACGGGATGATTGGGCGGCTCGACGGTTGCGAAGAACCCGCTCAACACGGCGTTGTTCCTTTTCGTCTTCTGTCTTGGCGCGTTTCCTACCAGATGTATTAGATCAGGTGCACAGGAGGGCAATGCTGAGACACATCAGTTATGGCAACTTACCGAGGAGGAAGGTTTGTCTTGGGCTCAGGAAGAACCTGACCCCATGACTTCCGCTTCTTCGTTTGCTTCTTATCCGGAGATGATGATCCTGCGCCGTCCGGAGCCGGGGTCGAAGCCGTAGATGCGGGAAGACCACCGTCGTCGTTGAAGGGCGGCGGTGTCATCATATCGGAGGGATCGAGAGTATCATCATTGACGACGCTTGCGTCGCCAAATAGCGATGGGTATATTTCGCCAGGTGTGGAAACGAAAGACTCGGCAGGCGAGTCCTCGAACTTGATCATTGGTGATGGCTGCTCCCAGGATGCCATTGTATGTCAAATATTGGTCGCGTCGGGAGCTGAACTCTCGACAGCAGACCCGCTCTAGCGTAGTAGAAGGAGAGGGGGTTGGAAGCTGGAGCGTGCAGTGAAACTGCTTGGTGTGGAGTGAATTGGCGAAGATCTGGGGGTGAG